CATTTTAGGTTAGTTAGCATAATATTCTTAGGACAACAGGCACTGTAATTGCTGTTCTCCACACATCCAGAATGGAAACAAACCCATACATTATATGGAAATGCATGTAAAGAGGCCCTGAGAAATTTCGTTTCTGGTTTTGTTTTAAGTAAAAAGTAGCTGTGAGAGGCTGCAGTTCTAAGTGGAGGAACAATAAGGAAAGGAACTACTTAACACTTTCCCCATTTTTCTTTTCCTGGCTGCGGGAGCAGGTAATATTGAGCAGAAAAAGAGCTGGTCGGGAAAGGGCTAAGCAGTCCCTCTCACCACTCCTCTTCCACTTCACATTTCAGCCTCCACAAACTGCATTTATTTATTTTATAACTGTCAGGGATTTGTCACACACATGCGCAAGTAACATGTGCCAGAATAGCCGAATATCACAGGGCCAGGCCTAGCATTAGGCTGAGTGACGCAGCTGCCTCAGGCAGCTGATTTGGGATGTCATGAAAAGACAGCAAATTGCTCGTTATTTAATTTGTTCTTGTGGTGTTTTTATTGCCAGCATCAAGGAGAGGTGCTTGTTTGTTTGTTTGCTTCTGGTGCTAATTTTTTTTTTTTTTTTTTGGCAAAGCTTGGTTACTGTGCCCCTTTTCTGTTTGCTGTTCCTCTTAGGCAGCAAAAGTAGACCCAAGTGGGAAGCCCACCTTTTGCTAACAATCCAAATACATTTTCTATCTTTCCCCCCTAATTATGCTTTTCTATTAAGGAAAAAGATAGAAGAAGTGGCAGAAAAACACAGGAGGGCTATTTGGATAGGAATGGTAAGGATGCTTTTTGGATTTCTGGTGTGCAGATGCTTCTTTTGGCACATATCCCCTTGTCTGCCTGCGAGCTTTTTCTCTGTCCTGGCTTAACTTGTGCATGCTGGAATGTAGAAGGATGATCTAACTAAACCCCTACATTCAAATGTAGTTCAACAGTGCCTCCTAGAGAATCTGGCTGGTTGGCACCCTGTTGGACAAGCCCCAAAAACTTAAATAACCTTCTTTCACTTTTTTGTCCTCCAAAATATGATCAAAACCTTAGGGTGCTTTCTGTAATAGGCTGACTGGTTCCAACCACCTTGGGCTTTTGATATGGATATTTGCAGCTGAGAGGAAGGTGGGTCCAGTCTCTAAGTAATTACCTGATTTGCTGACTGGATAACTGATGGCAAGATGAAGCCTATCATAATACTGAACAAAACAGCATCTAGTCTCTACTATGGGCAGCTTTTGCTGAACTGAGATCCCCGTAAGTGAAAGGTTAATCCTTATAACACTTAACTGGAACCTAAGAGTCTCTCTCCCTCCCTCTCTCATACCAACCTCTCTACAGTAAACTCTGCATACACTCAGGAACCCAACTCTACTCAGGTAGGTAGCATACTGCTGTATTAGACCATTTTACCAGTTTTATGTGGAATTGTATGCATTTTTGTGCAGATTGTCTTCCTTTTGCTCCTCCCAATTTTTCCCTTTATCCTTGATTATATTTTGACAAATGGCTATGTTGTTTTGAAAGGGAGTTCTCACTAAACTCTTCCACACATGGAACATCATAGGGTTACAGAGCTACCGATTTTGTTTCTAGGATTTTTTTAAAGGATCTCATTTCCCAGGCTTATATTATATGAAGATGATATCATGATGTCTCGTCTCGTCTGAAAGTTACTCTCTGCACTCCCCACCACTCAGGGAAAGGGAAGAAGTACAGATGTGAAACAAAATACACTATGCATACAACAAACTTCCTCTCTACTTATGCTGGAGTCTGGCCATTAACCTGAAAAGAAAAACAAACAGAAGAAAAGGAAGCTATATTCTGTTTCATTATAAAGGAAAAGAGGAAGAGTGCAAGAGCTCAATCAAAAGTCGTGTCCTTTGCCCTCAAAACCCCACTGCCCTGGGAACTAGTTGCACTAACAGCAGGTCACACACACTGGCTATGACTGTGGTTATTAAGCGCTAAGGGAAAGGCACTGCACATGACCAATATTTTGTCTGCTCTCTCCCTCCCTTTCCTGTTGCCTGAAACGTATTCCACCTAAGGTTAAGAGAGCCCTGTCAGAGGCTGTGCTCAAAGTAAGCCTGAGAGAGGTACCTTCTTGTTATCTGAATGTTTGATGTGCAGGTATCTAAGAGATGAATCTATAAAGAACAAGACTTGGAGCCACCAGTGGCAAATCTTTAAACTGCCCCTTCACTTCGGTGGAAGGGAGAAGCTCTTTCTGGCCCTATCTGTGTTGTCACAGCTGCACGTATTGTCCCCTGAGACAAAAATGAACCTCAGCCCAGGAGCTTAAGATCCAAGCTGTCAATGAGCAGTGAACCCTCCCTCCTTCCCTCTTCTGTGCCCAGCAGAAAGCTGCACCGCTTGACCAAGCTGCCTTCCAGCCTCAGCCGTCATCCTGAGCATGGCCTAGCTCTCATCTTTTAGAGGAATGAAACACCCACAAAACAAGGAGGTTCTATATCCTGTGCATGGAAAGGGGGGGGGTGCACTGTTAATGAGCTGCTTACCCCAGGGAAGGCTACAGAGAGGGAAGTGGTGTGGAGGGAGGTTGTGGCACATGGAGGGGCAGAAAGATGGATGGGCAGGACTGTGGCTCTCATTCAGCCTACCCTGATTTGAAGCAATGTGGGGAGGAAACCTCCGAATGTGTTCTCTGAGCAGTTCCATACGGACAAGGGAGCTGGGATGCAGCAGCACGCATTCGGAAGGGTGGAGGAGGAGCTCCATATGGACAGCATACTGCAGCCTTCTCCACCCTGGTGCCCTCTAGATGCCTTGGACCACAGTGCCTGTCCTCTCCAGACAGCATGGGCAAGCACCATCCCCAGACTGAATGGCCAGTGGCCACGCTGCGTGCAGGGGGCGGCATTCAAGGCCCATCTGGAAGGCACCATGTCGGGAAAACCCAGATCCAGTGCCTGGGTCAGCCCTGCAGCTCCGAGTGACCTTAGGTCAAGCTGTTTTTCTTTTAGCCTACCCTCCCTCCCTCCAGGGTTGGGTTATCGTGAGGACATGAAGGGGTAAGGACAAGAACCATGCTGCCTTAAGCTTCTAAAAAGAGAGCAGAATATGCATATAATAAATAATTATGCGTTAAAAACAAATAAATCTGTAAACCAGGCAACAAGACTGGAGGTGAAGTAGCAAGTGCGGGGATTCCTGGGCACTTAGGAATCTGGGATATTTTTCCCAATCTTGGGACAGAACAATCTTCCCAAGTGCCAATGGTTCCCCCCGCCCCAATTTGGGACCATGAGAACTTTAGTCAAACACATGAGGCTTGCACCAGGTTGAGGAAGGCTGGTGGCCCCAGGTATGTCTTGCACCTGTGCCATCGATCCGTTCTGCACCTTCCTTCTCTCCCTCTCATCTCCCTCTCTCCGCACACGGGGGTGAGAAACAGACACGGAGAAAAAGAACAAATCATACCCTGCCACAGTCTTTCGAAAGTGTTTATGGCTTAGGCAAGAGGTGCTAAAAATGGGGAGGGGGGAGAGAAGGAGGCATCTCACAGTTACAGTGTGCTGTGCTTCTCCCCCACCCCCAGCTCAGGCAGACACACTGGGAAATGCCACGGGGGTCCCACACAGCCCAGTTCCGCCGTGTCATCTGATCAGCTGCCTCCTCCTGCCGGCACCCGCCTACCCATTTCAAAGCGGAGCAGCTGCGCCTGCCGTGGATGCCTGACCCCAGCCGGGTGAGCAGGAAGTACCAGGTCTGGGCATGAAAAGGACTATTCCGGCATCATGCGGAGACCCCGGCACCTGCCTTATTATTGATGGGCTCCCAGAGAGATTGACAAAGAGGTTCAGTCCAGATCTGCTGAACTGGCTCACACATGGAGAGTTCTTCTAGCCCTATCAGTGCACTCTTCCCTTCCCTTACTTTCCCAAATAATCTCTTTTCTTATTCATGCCCTGTCACAGCCCTACAAACTTCCCATCCAGGATTTTTGCAGCAACGCTTTGAAGCTTGCACAACTGGGTAAAAGAAGTGCCACCTCCTCTTTCAGAATGGAACTATTTTTGGGTTCCCTCTTCAAGGGTGACTGATGCTTTCCCCACCCCTTCTCCAAACTGTGTAGGAGGACAGGCAACCAAGGCTCTGCCTCCAAAAGGCATGCTCAGCTGGAAAGCTCCCATGTACGAACTGAGGGTTAGTCCTAGATATAACCTTGCGACTTAGAGTAGACCCACTGGAATCAATGCGACTCAAGTCAGGCACAACTAATTTAGGTTCCATTGATTCCAGTGGGGCTGCTCTAAACCGCATGACCAGCTTAAGTCTCATGGATTCCAGTGGATCTACTCTTAAGTCTGGCCAAATCTGGAATCCACCCTGTTTGCACTATCCCCAGTGCTCCTGCTCCAAGAAAGTGTAAAGCCTCCCCTTCCCACGCAATAGTTGCTGTGTGGGCTTGGGAACACACCAGGTGCCTTCCCCTATTACTCACTGGACCACCTTTTGTGCCTTACACTCACCGGCCAGCAGGGGGAGGTAGTAGAGGAAAGCTCACTTCTTAGGAGGCCAGAAGAGTATCCCCTAAGCCAGTTACCAACAGAACACCCCCACCTACCCAAAGCCAACCACCTCCTTTCCTTGGGGAGGATCTTAAGTCCCTAACTATTCTACCCCCCCCCCGCCCCCAATCCACACAGAAGCTAAGGAAAGCAAGTCCTACCAGCCCCCCAACTCAGCAATTCCGCTGGCATGGTTACTGCTGCTCCATCGAAGATGCCCAACTAATGCCACTTGCAACTGTGCTGGAAACATTTCCTTACTCCACCCATCCTTGGGTGAACCCCCTGCACTCCTTCCCCAGCTTCTCTGCCCCAAGTTTCCAACATCGTCATTCAATAGCTCCAGAACTGACTCCTGCCCTCCCCCAACTTGATGCCAGGTCCCTTCCAAGGTGGGCGGCTCCCCTGCTTAAAATAGCCCCTTCTCCCGGCCTGTCGACTCACCACCTCGGAGTCTTCGAATCCATGGAAATAGGAGTCCTCATACATGGGGGTGGGGGGAAGGATGGTCCAGGAACGAGGGCAGAGGAGGGGAGACAGGTGTCCGGCGCTTTGCCCCCTGGCCCCAGCTGGGTTGCGGGGGCAGCAAATGGCACAGAACTGCAACGCTGGTCAGCACACTCTCTGTCAGACTTCCCCACCCTGGATGCTGTGGCTCAGCTCGGCTCAGCAGCAAGGCAAAAACAATAGCGCCCACCCACCAGCCCTCCCCTGGGGGCAGGCACACAGGCAGGCAGGCAGGCAGGCGGGGAGGGAGGGGGGAGGGAGCGAGCGAGCGAGGCGGGCGGGCAGGCAGGCAGGCAGGCAGGCAGGAAGCTGAGGCGAGCAACAGCCACGGGACTGTCCAGATCTGCCTGCACCTGCTGGGCGAGAGCCGCACGAAAGGGACCGGGGGGGGGCATGGGCGTGGCGCAGATCAGCAGAAGGGAAACAAAAGGATGGAGAGAGGAGGGTCCAGCGATCGAGAAGGGGCTCAGAACTGTAAGGCAGCCCCACTGGAGGTGAAGGGGGGGGGTTAGTGCATCCTCAGGGGCCAACCCCTTTGCGTTTCCAAAGCGATCCGTGGGACATTAAAACCTTTCTTCCTAGGGGTGGCAGAAAAGGGTGCCTGACAGATACAGCCAGTTAGTACGTGCAGGAGGGGAAAGCTTTCTTGGACCTGCACGGGTCTGGCAGGGGAGACAGAGACTGAACAAGCAAAGGAATGTGGGAAGGGAAGGGAAGAGAAGGGAAGTCCAGGCCGTGGTTCCCACAGCGCACCATCCCGAGTTTCTTCAGCAGCAGCTTTGATCCAAGAGTCAACCGCCCTAATTGCTTGCACATCCCTTAACTAAGTGCCACATCACTCCTTGCCAAACGAGCGCTTCCCACCCTCCCTGGCAGCCCTGAGCGACATTCACCCATAGATCCTTTGATCCAGGGCCCTCCCCCCTGCTGTCACCTCCGGCTTCACGCTCCCCTTTGCCTGCTCAGGCTACCCCCAACCCGCTGGGCCACATCCCGCACTAGAAGGCACGCACCTTCGCCCTCGCCCACCCCGTCCAGCAGCAACTTTAGGACGGATGCTTGCCGTCTGCCGACCTGGGCGCTTCTCTTACATGCGGACAAGGTGGAGGGGGCGCTAGGCGGCGTGAGGTCGACGGTGGGGGAGGAAGGAGAAAGGGCTTTGCAGGAAATGGGGCCAGATGGGGATTTCCCCCCCTGCAGTTCCTCCAAGCTCTGCCTCCATATGCCTCTCTGAGCTCGATGCCAGCGCTGCTGCCCGCCACGAGCTTAGCCCTCCCCATCTCCTTTCCCATCGAAAGTTGGGCAGAAGCCCAGTTATTCCACTCCGGTTCTTTTCACGCCAGATTTTGCAAAAGAGGGCTCTCTAATTCGCCTTTTCCGAGCATCCTCCCCTCTCACGCCCCCCGCCCTCCCGCTCCCGGATCTAGAAAATACAACCAGAATGCGCGGCATGGTGGGGACGGGACGGAGACGAGGAAGACGCGTCGCTGCCAGCCTCTCCCTCTCCCCATCGTCCGCCCTCCCACTGCCGCCGCCGCCGCCTCTCGGGGTCTCCGGATCTGCCCAGAGTTGCAACGGGCGCGGGTGGGTAAGAGAGGGCGAGAGGGGGGCAAGAAAGACGGCTCTTGTCACGGATGGGGAGTGGCGGGGCGGCAGGAGGAAGGGAGCGAAGACGAGAAGGCAGGAACGGGCAGAGGAGGCCAGGGGGCTGCGCTCGGCGTGGTGGGAGGCGGCGGCGGCGGCTGCGCGGTGAATGTTAAGTTACCTCGTTGAGTAGGAAGGTTGCGCTGGAGTCAGAAAAAGACATAGACAGACGGGGAGGGAGCCGGCCGGCCGGCGGGGCCCGGGGTGCAGTGCCGGCTGGGAAGGAGAGAAGGCGGCCGGGAAGGAGGGAGGCGCCCCCCGCCCCCGCTGCTTTCCCCGCCGCGCCGCGCCGCTGCTAAGCGCCTTCCTCGCTCTCCCTTCGCTCGCTTCCTGCTGCTGCCGCCGCCGCCGCCGCCGAAATTCGCTGTGCGCGCCGCCGCCGCGCCTCCCTCCCTCCCCTCCTCCCTCCTCCCGCTACGCGCCGTTCCGATAATGGACTCGGGGACGTGCCAGGCGCTATATAATCACATGGGGTGGGGAGATGCGCCCAGCAAAGCTGGCGAGCAGACCTCGTCCAGCGGCGGCGGGCGTCCTCGCCTCCACGCCCCCCGCCCCGGCCGCCGGTTTCCAGCCATCTCCCTGCTCCTCTAAAAGGAGGGGGGTTGGATTGGTGGGGGAAAGAGGGAGAGAAGCTGCAACCCCATCCCCCCCCTTCCCCGAAAAGCTCCCAGATGCTCATCTAGCAGGAATGTAAAGAGAGGGGAGAGACGCTACCGATCCAGGTGGGGGCTGAGCGCCGCTCATCCGCTCCCCTCCCACCGGAACCCGGGGTTTTGTGCCTTGGCTCACCAGAGCTCGAGCAACGCCGGCATCTGTTTCGCAGGCCAGGGCTCATCCCAGGAACAGAAAGGATAAAGAGGCTCCAGAGCTAGTGCAGAGTGTCTTTTCACTGAGCATCTGCCCACAATCAGAGTTATAGGAGAAATGCTTCCTGATCACTCAAAGGGTTTCATGGAAGTCTCTTCTTTGCCACCAGTAATCCCAGTTAGACAGGAGCAGGCTTGCTACTCCTACGCTCTACAAAACCTCTATCGTGGCAGTCTAAAATACGGCCAAATGTTGGGGACTGCCTTTTAAACAGACTAAACCAGTCCTAACATCTCTTCTTTATTCTGCCTCTCCCAACAGCCTTCACCCCTTCTTTCCAAATCTCCTCCTCCCCAACCGATTGTCACATATTCTCCACCTTTTTTGCTGCAATGCCAGGCGGCTACCCCCACCCATCAAACTTACCCGGGCTTCTTTTAGTGCCCCCTGGTGGACAGATCAGAATGATTGATTCCCCCCCCACCCCCGTGAGGAGTTGATATAAATTCTTAAAAGCAAAAACAAAACCACTATATGTATATATAGAGAAAGGGAGGGAGGGATCGTTCACTTCTATCCCAAGTGGGACTTCTGGCATCAGCAAATAGAACCTTCCTGCTTGTTATAATAAAAGGCACCTGGGCTGGGAAAGGAGAGAAAGGAACAGGATTCTGTACTGAGGGTGCAACAGAGGGGTCCCACCTGGGAAGCACAACGCAATATGGGCAGGACCAGCATTTGGCGAGGGGGGAAGATGGGCTTTCACGCAGCCCTGGCGCAGTGCAATAGGCACAGAGTAGGCATGTAAGTCTTGCGCTAGCCCTGCAGTGACGCTGCCTCGGCATGGTCACTCCAGCCCTCCAGGGGGTGCTAGGACATGGAGGTAGTAATCCTAGCAGGGAAGCTTCTGGCTTGCTCTATGGGATTATCTGTGCAGTAGGAGGCTGAGTTGAAGTGCTGGTGGGAGAGGAGGGATGTGGTGGTTACTCCAAGAGGGAGCATGGAGGGCTGTGCAGCTGGTTCCTTGGCTTTGCGGGTAGCTAGCATCTTCTTTAGGCATTGTCCGCCCAACGGGGAGCACTGTAGGGAGATGGATGGGAATGGAAGGAGGTAGCGAGCAGGCAAAGTGAGGTACAGTGCACCCGCCTCCCGCTTCATGCTCTTGCTGCTAATCAGGCCATGAGCCACCATCACCTACCTGGCAATCTAACTCTTCTTGACAACTTCGGCTTGCCTGGCAGTCCAACGCAGCTCTCCTGCAGAGCCTTAAGCTCCCCACACTGCAGTCTGCAGTTCTGCCACCCAGACCTGCTCCCTGAACCACTCCACCCTGCCCCTCCTCCTCCTTTTCTAGCCCACTCCAGGAGACGATTCCACATTACCTCATTGAGTAGGAAGGCACCGGAGTTGGAGAGAGACATGCAGCGTGTCTGTTTGGCTGGACAGTTGTAGCAACTCCGATTGCTTCAGCACCCCCTGCTACCTTCCTCACGGACCCAGCCCGCACACAAGAAGGCAGGCCCACATGATGGGGAGCGAGCGGTCTGCAGGCTCGGCAAGGCACGAGCCTTCCAGGTTCTGCCATACAAGGATGTCTCGTGGCTGTGTCCATGAGCATCCCATTGGCCCTCCGGCTGTTGTGGAGCAGAGGGTGCATCCCAAGGTCAGCAGCATGCGCCTTTCTCTTAGCGCCAGGCACAAGCAGCCAGCTGGCTCACGGACCGTTGTGGAGCAGCTCGCTCTCGACTGGTCTGTCCAAAGGGCTCTCCCATATGCATGCCACAGGTTGATGTGTGCCATCAGCTTGGGACTTATCAGCGCTTAACTTGTTGTGGGACTGAGAAGGAAGGCTCTCAACCTTCCTGCACAAGGCAGCCATGGGCCTGCCGCATGAGGGGCTTGTCTGACCGTGGTTCCCCAGGGGTGAGGTTGGAACTCAGATCCATCTTTGCACATGGGTCTTCAGCTGCAGAAAATGTGTCCCTGGGGTACGACAGCATGGCAGAGCACTCACCCGTGGGCCAATGAGTTGAAAGACCGTGATAAATGGTCTACTCAAGAAAGAGTTGAAATCCATCTAATTCTGATAACTGTTTTGGTGAGATGGTGCACATCCAAGTGGGGCAGGTTCCAGGCTGTGTAGTCTGTTGCAAGACGTCCTCCATAGGTGCCCTCCTGCAATGGAACTATGTCCTCACCTCTGCTGTCCCTGTCTGCTCTTGCTCCCCCTCCTCCTTCCTGTCATTGAATACCACAGGGAGAGAGCCAGGGAGCAAGCAGGCCAGGGTACCTGGCTCTCCTCACCACCACCCCTGAACTAGGGTCAGGCTCATGGCCAGAGGCAGAGGCAGCCGAACAAGCAGGTTGCCATGTGAACTGGAGGAGCAGGTCCAGTGGCTTTCTCCATGGCCCATGCTGTGGTTTAGACTCACAGGTGCCCAAGGGTGGCTACCTGTGACACCAGCCTTGGTGTCCGCCTTGGAACCAACAAGCCCCCTTATCCAGTGCCCAGGACCTCTCAGTCCATTTGTGTTTCCTTCAGCTTGCTGGGATTCTGCCCATCATGTCCTGCCTTGGTTCAGATGGGTACTCAAT